TCCTGCTGCACGGTGTGAGGAGGTGCGGGGCTGGGGAGGTCCTGGGGCTGCTCCCTGTGAGAGGGGTCCTGGGCTCAGTCATGTTCACAGCGCTCCCTGGATTCAGCTTATGTATCCAGGAGACTGGGGCTACAGCAACTGTCCAGAAGCCTAAATCCGTCACTAGAGTTCTTCCTCAAGTGCTGAGCCAAGAGCTTATAAATGGGTTCTTTGGTGCCACCAACTCCAAGGAAAAGGAGAGAGCAGGTGTTTTAATTCAGGAGAGATGCAGAAAAGCTCTAAGGAGAGTGGAGAGTGTCTTGGGTTTGGAAGGATGAATAGGAGTTTGTTGAAGGAACGTGGTAAGGTGTTTCAGAGAATACACAAAGTGTAAATCCACAGAGAAGTGACAGAGTCCTGCCCATGTTCTGGCTGGCTGTGAGGTGAGGGATGGGAGAGGAGCGGCAGGTGCGCCTTGCAATACCCTGGTGTGCCGTCATGGTAGGGGAGTTTGGACATCAGTGACCTTGTATTTCTAGTACCTCTTCCTGAGATCTTCACATTTAAGTTCACCTCCCTTCCCCCCCCCCCCCCCGCCGTGATCATTCTGAAATGATCTTTAAAAGCATCTGACCAAGGCTTGCTTTAAGCATGTATCATGTCTAAAATGCGGTCACAGTTCCAGAAAAGAAAAAAAGCACATTGCTCCAGTTTTCAAAGGGCCTTGACGTCCAGTTGGGAAAATAACACATCACCGTTTGGGAGTTGGGAAATGCACACGAGCCAACTGTTCCAGTCTGTCCCCCTGCCTGACAGAGAGGCAGCACCAGCCACCGTTGATGGGTGACGGGCTTTCCAGGGACTGTGCAGGAGTGGGAGGCTGGGCAGAAGTACAGAAAAGACGTTTTAAAGAAGCGGGAGGTCTGAAAGCAGATCAAAGATTTTCCCTGGAGCCATGCCTATTATGAGCAGAAATAGGAAGACCCAGGCAGCACCGCACAGCAGGTGTGAGATGAGAAAGAATTAGACTTGAACTTGAAAGGACCTGTGGTTTGTTTTGTGTTGTTTTTGATACCGTGTGTGTGTGTGTGTGTGTGTGTGTGTGTGTGTGTGTGTGTGTGTGTGTGTGTGTGTGTGTGTGTGTGTGTGTGTGTGTGTGTGTGTGTGTGTGTGTGTGTGTGTGTGTGTGTGTGTGTGTGTTCCTGGGTTTGAACTCGGCCTTGTTCTTGTGGAACTGGCACTCTACCATTTGAACATACTTTCAGCCTCTGAGAAGAGCATCATTGTGTCTACTAACGGTTGGGCCTGTAGTTCAAATCATGGTGGCACGTTGAGGTCACTTAGCATATCAAGGTACTACTCTTGATATCAAGGTATTGCTGGTGTGCTGTCAGGGCTGAGTAGGCCTGGAGCTCCGTGTGCCCTGTTCTTCTGCTTTCCCCTGTGTTGACTCTCTGCTTAGTACTTAGCTCTTCTGGGAAAGGCACCTAGGAAGAGTTAGGGCACCTTAGCAAGCACCACACTGGGCATGCAGTCCAAGCCAGAAAACCAGAAGCTGAATCTGTTTACTGCTTAGGCAAACGGAGCATGCTTTGTGAAACTGAATAATACTGTAACCGGTAATGGTATGGGCAATTCCGGATTGTCATTTTGTTCCTTTCTATCAATGGATGGGACCTGTGTCTGCTTCCTGGCTGGTATGTTCACACCCATGCCTTTCCGTGTGTGCATCTCCAATTTGCATGAGTGCAAAAAGTGTAGCCAGTGTAGAGAAGAACAATTCTTAGAACTGGGCGCTGGTGGCTCATGCCTATTATCCTATCTACTCAGGAGACTGAGATCTAAGGGTCTTGGTTCAAAGCCAGCCTAGGCAGAAAAGTCCCTGAGTCTCTTACCTCCACTCAACCAGCAAAAGAACAGAAAGTGGAGGCATAGTTCAAGTGGTTGAGCACCAAACATGAGTAAAAAAGCCATGCAATGGCACAATGTCCTGAGTTCAAGCCCCAGTACTAGCACAACATTACACACACACACACATTTTATACATAATGAGTTGTGACAGTGCAGCTTCTTGTAGATTCTACGTTCCTTCTCTGCTCATCATGGGCTTCTGTGAAAGTGATTTTTCAGGTGCATTTTCTTTACAGCTGCTTTGAGTTGGCTTTGGATGGTTTCTAGAAACCTTGTCCTTTTCGCTCTGTAGCTGCTCAGCCAGGACTAGCAAGGCAGCGGGCGGCTTTGCACTGGGCAACCAAGGCAGCAAGGATAAAAATAGGACCAACTTTTAAGAATCCCAGATATTTTCAGATAACAAAGACGGATCTATGCAGGCCGTGTGTGCGGGGACACAGGACAGACCCGCCTTTGTGCTGCGATTAGCAAGGGCGCTGATGTCAGATCGCTCGTCAAGCATCGAGCTTTTATTCTGTGGCTAAATTGTGCTTTGTACCATAATCCAGAGGACCTTTGTCTGTGCCTTATGAAAGTGTGTCGTTTATGTAATTACTTTTGTTTTCCTGTTTCGTGGGTGCCAGATTCGCTGTGAGTGACTCATTGGGTGAGTGAGACAAACATTCCCATTGGGACCATGGGAAAATTAAATAAATAAGTAGCAGGTGCCTCTTGGCGAACTTGTGGGTTTTCATGGTGTCATTTCCTGCCACAGGGGTTCGTGTCTTCGAGAGCATCTGTGTGGCCCCTGTACTGGCCAGCTCACTCTGCCTACGGCACCTCAATGAATGCATTGCTCTCCGCTTTCCAGCTATTTGAGTTCCTGCAGCAGGGTGATGTCAGTGGATGGGGTGCGGGCGAGCACCCTCAACCAGAACTCAGAGAGCGACACGCAGCTGCAGAGGCGGGATGCGGTCCATTCGCTTCTGGTTTGGTCCTTACTCCAAGGTGTTCACGCAGGGGTTTTCAGTACAGGGATTTTGGTCAAATGCTTGTTGGGTGTCAGAAGCTCTCTTTTCTTTCCTTTTTTTTTTTTTTTTTTCTTTTGTCTGCCGTGGGGCTTGAACTCTGGGCCTGGGCACTGACCCTGAGCTCTTCAGCTCAAGGGAAGTGCTCTGCCACTTGAGCCACAGCGCCACTTCTAGTTTTCTGGTGAGTAATTGAAGATGAGAGTCTCACAGACTTTCCTACCCAGGCTGGCTTTGAACTGCAATCCTCAGATCTCAGCCTCCTGAGTAGCTAGGATTATAGGCGTGAGCCACTGCCCCTAGCTCTTTCCTTTCCTTTTTTTTTTTTTGTTAAGGAGTCCATGAGACTCTATACTTAAGTCTAGCACTTTACCACTTGAGCCACAGCATCACTTCTGGCTTTTTCTAAGTAGTCTATTGGAGATAAGAATCTCACGGACTTTTCTGCCTGGGCTCTCTTTGAACCATGATCCTCACATCTCAGCCTCCTGAGGAACTAGGATTACAGGCGTGAGCACCAGTGCCCACTCTTATGTGGTTTTAAGAGTGTTTTTTCTTCTCATGACCCTGGATATCTGACCACCTTATTCTCCTAGGGAAGTGGGGGTGTTAATTGTGTCCCGTCTCTGTGTACCAGGTACTGTGTGGTCCCTTGGGGGTGCACTGGTGGGGAGCAGATGTCATCTTTTTCCTTCTTGTGGTCATTTTCCTTCATGGACTCTAGAGGTTACATGCAAAACATACATATAAAACAAAGGTTGAATTGTACGTGTGCATAAATCACTGTCTAGTCGAGTAATAGGGTCCCTGCAACTGTACCCCTAGTTCATATACTTCCCCTTAGGGTGGCTGAGTTGAAGGTGGTCAGGCAAAGGAAGGCTTGGAGTTGGCCAGGCCAGGATGAGGGAAGAACATCCGGGACTTAGAAGGGAGTTTAAGCAGCCAAGCACCAGTGGCTCACATCTGAAACCCAAGATAGACAGGAGGCTGAGATCTGAAGATGGCAGTTCAAAACCACCCTGCGTCAGGAAAGTCCATGGGACTCTTATTTTCAATTACCCACCAAATATCCACAAGGGTGGCTGGGGCCTCAAGTGGTAGAATGTGAATAAGACAAAGCAAAACAAAAAGCTCAGGGACAACACCCAGGCCCTCAGTTCAAGTCTCAGTACTGGAACAAAGAACAAAAAGGAGCATGCGCAATTGGCAAGGAATTTGGCTTCCTGTAACCGGAGAGTAGGAACTGGTGATTGATGATCACACATGAGAGAGACAAGACAGAAAACAGGCTCAGATGATGACCACTGTGGTAAATTCGTGCAAATCTGACACTGTGTGTGTGTGTGTGTTTCTAATGGTGCTGAGGTTTGAACTCATGGCCTTGCACTTGATCGGCAGGCACTCTACCACTGGAGCTGCCTTCCAGCATTTGTTTTATGTATTGGTTATTTTTTAGGTAGAGTCTCATGTTACGCTTGGGTGACCTATACTGCAATCCTCCCGCTTTTGAGCCTCCCTGTATCTCGGGTACAGCAAGTGTATGCCAACATACCCAGCCATTGGTCAGGATGGAGTTTCATAAAATGTTTTTTTTAATCTTGCCTGAGCTAGCTTTGTACTGTGATGTACAATCTCTTGCCTCTGAATAGCTAGGATTACAGACTTAAACTTACTGTGTCTAGCTGTTGATTGAGAGGTTGATATTAAAGAACCACATGTCTTTGTGATTTTTCTAGATAATTTCTTGTTAAAGGATTATAAATTTCTTCCATAAAGAAATATTTGTCTATTTAGCAATATATCTTCAGGTGTTTGGATAGGGATGTTACATTCTGAAGCATGTTCATGCATGCTAAATGTTTTCAAGGCTGGTGCGCTAACAATTTGAACCTCACTACCACTTCAGGTATTTTTTGCTGGTTAATTGGAGATAAGTGTCTCTGAAATTTGTGTGGCTGGCTTTGAACTGGAATCCTTGCATATCAACTTCTTGAATAGCTAGGTTATATAAGCATGAGCCATGACACTCTTCCTTAAATGGTTAAAAATGGGCCATCTTGAAAGCTGGTTCCCTCATGCTCATGGTGCCCTGCTTGCTTCTAGGCCTGGAAGAGGAGATGGTTTGTACTCCGCAGCGGCCGTTTGACTGGAGACCCAGATGTCCTGGAGTACTACAAAAATGATCACGCCAAGAAGCCCATCCGGATCATTGATTTGAACTTGTGCCAACAAGTGGATGCTGGGTTGACATTTAACAAGAAGGAGTTTGAAAACAGCTACATCTTTGACATTAACACCATCGACCGGATCTTCTATTTGGTGGCCGACAGCGAGGAGGAGATGAATAAGTGGGTGCGCTGCATCTGTGACATCTGTGGGTTCAATCCCACAGAAGAAGGTGAGCGAGCGCAGGATGGTATCATCCAGCTGGAGCCCTCCTTCCGTTGCTACTTTGTTAGTGATGTTCTGAAACATCTTCGTTATTTCCAGTTACACAGGACAGTTTTATAATAGGAACATGGCAGAGAGAACATGGCACTGAACTCTTTCACCGGTTTGTTGTTGTGCCGGTCTTGGAGCTTGAACTTCGGACCTGGACGCTGCCCCTTAGTTTTTCATTTTTGCGCAAGGCTGGCTCTCTACCACTTGAATCACACCTCTACTTCTGGCCTTTTGCTGGTTAGTTGGAGATAAGAGTCATCATAGACTTTTAGACTTTTCTGCTTAGGCTGGGTTCAAACTGTGATCCCCAGATCCCAGCTACTCAGGCCTAGTAGCGAGGCCTGAGTAGCGAGGCCTGAGTGGCTGGGCCTGAGTGGCTAGGACTGTGTGGCTAGGACTGAGTGGCTAGGCCTGAGTGTCTAGGACTGCAGGCGTGAGCCACCGGAGGCCAGCTTCTTTCATCAGTTTTGAGAGAAACTTTTATACAGTTTTGTTTTGTTGGTTCTGGGGTTTGAACTGAGGGCTTCACACTTGCTAGCAATGTGCTCTGGCCCTTGAGCCATACGTCCAGCCCTTCTTTCTTTACTTGATTTTTCAGATAGGGTCTCACCTTTCCCCCCACAGCTAGCCTCAGACAAAGAGCCTCCATCCTCTACCTTCTGGGTACCTATGCCTGTGCTACTCTGCCCAGCTTGTTTTCTTTTGAAAGTCTCCCTAACTTTGTTTTGCCCAGGCTGGACTGAACTGTGATCCTCCCATCTCTACCTCCTTACATAGCTGAGTTTACAAGCATGTAGCACTACACCTGGCCCTCTTGTGTACATTTTAGAGAAAAATGTAACCATTGTCAATCAGCATCCCTGAAGAAGAAGGTGGCAGGAGGGCATAGAAGAGCACTTATTGATGCTGACATAAGTATTAATACTATTGGTATTGAGCTATTTTGACCTATTGTAAATATCTAGTTTTATCTGTTTCAACCCAATTCTTTAGGTGTTGTTATAAAATCTGCATTAGAATTTGCAGCTGTGAAGTAGCCCAGGTGGTTATCAATACTGATGAAAAGCCAGAGAGAATTAATCACAAAAGGCAAGGAAAAAGTGTCCAGCCAGTGTCCACTTGGAAGGAGTAGGGGAGAATGAAGGTTTGGGTAAGAGGTTGAAGAGAACAACCCCTTATAAAGAGACTGATGGGAAATCATTGGCTGTGGAAAGAAGCCTGTTTCCATGTAAAAGAAGGGCAGGTGCTGCCCTGGAATCTGGGCTCTGAGCAAGGACTCTGAGGTAGAAGACAGGTTGACATGACTTAGCTCAAGAGCTGTGGATGATCAAAGCAAGGCGTCAGGTCTTGAGTGGGGAATTGAGATTTGGGATGCCTGTCTTAAAAAGAGCTGGGAGATTGGAGGTGTGAAGAAGAATTTGTAAGTGGAAGTCTGCACAGCTCTGTGTGTGTGTGTGTGTGTGTGTGTGTGTGTGTGTGTAGCTATGTGACTCCTTACTGCTGAGTCTGCTTTTGTAAACAGACTCAGGATCTGTGTAGGACTTAAATTCAGAGGGAGTGAAGGTGAGCCGGTGGCTTGGACTTTGCTGTCTTCACGGCTGTACTCTAGGGTCCCCGCCCACCCCTGCAGGGATTTATTCCAAGATCACCCATGGGTGCCTCAAACTGAGAACAGTCCACGCTCTATCTATACCCATTTTTTTTCCTCCTGTGAATACATACCTATTCTAAAATTTAATTCTTAGATTGGATGCAACAGTAGATTAGCGACGATAAAGTAGGATATCGTGACAGTCTGCTATAATCAATTATTCTTGTGCTTTGGGAGCATTGTGAAGTCAAAGGAGGATCAGGAAACAAGCACTGCACACTCATTCAGGACAGCCCTGTGTGGCTTTCAGGCAGTAGCAGGTACGGTGTGGACATGCTGGAGAGAAGGCAATTCGTGTCCTAGGTAGGAGTGGGGTCGATCCAGTTTCAAGCATATAGGTGGTTTATTTCTGGAATTGCCAATTGATATGTTTAGACTTTAGTTGACCCCAGGTTCCTGGAAGCACAGAAAACAAAACTTGAAGGGTGAAGAGACACAGTAGTATGCTCACACTCAGGCGTGTGTATAGCTAGATACTTCCACAGGAGTGCTGGAAGGACAGGAAGATAATCACTGGTGTCAAGAATTGGATTGAAGCCAGGCCTGGCGGCTCACACCTGTAATCCTAGCTATTCAGGAAGGCGAGATCTGAAGACTGTGGTTCAAAGCTAGGCTGGGCAGAAAAGTCTGTGAGACTCTTTATCTCCAATGAACCAGCAAAGAGCTGGAAATAGAGGTATCGCTCAAATGATGTCAGCCTTGAGCGAAAAATGCAAGAGTGTGAGGCCTTGAGTTTAAGCCCTGATACTGGCAAAGAAAAATAAAAATGGATTGGAGAGAAATAGTACCAGTGGTCATGCAGACATCCTTCCTGAGTGCAGGACAGAGCCCCACAACGAGGCCCAGCCCAAGCCAAGGCGGATGCAGGAGATAGGAGCTGGAATCTTCCTTCTGTTAGTCTCTGTTTTGGTTTTTTTTTTTCTAAGTTCCAGTTGTCAGTGAGATGGGTCTCGTTTTTGGCGGCTGTTTAGCAAGTACTTGTTTTGCCCTGGTGAGATTAGACGCCCCTCTAGTTCCTTTGTGCTGGGTTTTTCCAGGTCAGCAATTGTCATCTCCTCATGTTGTTGAGGCTGTGGGGATGGAGAGCAGGCGTCCATCTCCAGGTCCTGCCTGGCGACGATGCTGATCCTCAATGCTGAGGAGCAGGAGTCTTTCCATGTCTCTTCTTTCATGACCCTCCTCAGCGAGATGCTGTCTGAGAGGGAGTGTGAGTGCGTGCATTTCAGTGTGGGTAAAGGTGAGGTCCTCCAAGAATTTCAAAAGACTTCTATCCAGGATTAAAGTTCCAAGTTGTTTTTTTCTTTTTATCTTTTTGTTGTTATAAAACCGGGACTTGAACTGTGTGCCTGATATTTTGCTCATTGGCTGGCGCTCTGCCAACAGAGCCATGCCTCCAACCCCCTAAGTTTTCAAGTTTGAAGGCACAGATTCTGGGCAGAAAACAATGCTGACCACTAAGAAAGTGAATGAAAGCTGAGCGCCGGTGGCTCACGCCTGTCATCCTCGCTACTCAGGAGGCTGAGATCGGAGGATCGAGGTTCAAAGCCAGCCCGTGGCAGCAAAGTCCTTGAGACTCTTATCTCCAAGAAACCACTAGAAAACCAGAAGTGACACTGTGGCTCAAGCAGTAGAGCGCTCACTTTGAGCCAAAGAGCGCAGAGACAGTGCCCAGGCCCATAATTCAAGCCCCACGACCGACCTAAAAAAAAGGCGAATGAGCATTCTCTCAGCAAAGATGAGCTTAGTCTGTTTTAGAAAATTGGTTTATTCATTCATCCAAGTATTGGAGTTTGCCATCAGTCGGCCAGGCTGTGGGCATTTGTGGAGTGCATAATGAACGCCAGGTGACAGTTGGGAAGGCGAAGGGCAATCTTTTTTACTCAAGGCTTACACTCTGCCGCTTGAGTTACAGCTCCCCTTCTGGCTTCCTTGCTGGTTAATTGGAGGTAAGAATCTCAGATTTGTCTGCCAGGGCTGACTGCAAACCTTAGTCTTCAGATCTCAGCCTCCTGAGTAGCGAGGATGACAGGCTTGAGCCACTGGGCCCTCCACTTTCTACATTTAGTTCATGATGTATGTCTAAATACAGCTGCAGTTATATTTTAGATCCTGTTGTTCACATTTTTTTTGAAACTTCTTCCTGGCCAAATCTTCCAAGTAGCCACACTGGGGAATATCTTAATATATAATGTGTTCAAGTATGTGTCAAGTTTCTTGAAATAAATATATAAAAGACGAATGGTTTTTCATTATGTACTATCAGGTAGCCCACCCTCCCCCGCCAATACTTTATGGTATTCTTATTCGGATTTTAAAAATTTATCATAGGGAATCTACTAGGATTATTGAAAATAACCACTGTATATCCTTATGTATTTATAGTAGCTGACTTTGATAAATGCCTTAAAAAAAAAAAAAAAAGCTTAGCCTGGCCCTGATAGCTCATACCTGTAATCCTAGCTACTCAGGAGGCTGAGATCTGAGGATTCGATTCAAAGCCAGCTTGGGCACGAAAGTTAATGAGACAGACTTTTATTTCCAAGTAAATACTAAGAAGTTTAGGGACACCCTGGCCTTGAGTTCAAGCCCAAATAGCAACATAGAAATAAATAGGTAGGCAGATAGGTAGACAGACAGACAGGCAGACAGACAGACAGATAGATAGATAGATAGATAGATAGAGCAAGCCTAGTCTGGGCAAAGTACTGGGTTTGGTCCCAGAACCACAAAAACCACAAGAAGAGACAGACAGAGAGATCAAACACAATTAAAGGATCAGAAGGTTCGCATCAAATTTTAAACAGAAAAGGACTGTTATTAATCTTTCTAACATCATACCGTTCAATACGGCACAGTAGGACTCAGACTGTGTTTGTTCCTCCACTGATTTTTTTTTTCCCACCTGTTTTCTCTTTTCTTGCTTCTACACAGACCCCAGCACCACTCACCAGTGCTGACTGCTTTCTTCTTCCTGCCCCCAGATCTGTCCCCTGGGCCCTGGGTTCGTCCCCGTTCTGAACACTCACCACGTTCCTCATCTTGCCGTGGAAACTGGCTGCTGCCAGTTTTCAAGCCAGATGTGGGAAGAAACAGACTATGTCTGGCTTTCCAGCCTGGGAAAATAACTGCCCCGCCGTCCCTATGAGAATAACTCGTTTTTCCCCTGAAAAACAAAAGGAGAAGGGAAAACTCTGACCTGTGTTTTGATTCCAGGAACCTCTCAAAATACCGCCCGCATGTTATTTCCGCTGGCCCAGGTGACCGCGGCTATTTTGACTCTTCTGTGCTGGCAAGCGAGCTCTTGTTTTCCAATCCTAACTTGCTGAACTGTCTGTGGATTTTCTGGGCTTTTTTCTTTAGGGGATGCAAGTGAGGGTAGAAACAAAATTTCTTTTGTTTTTCTTGGAAATGAGATTTCTTTTTGTTTCTACAACCCCAAGGTAGAAGCTGTTAAACAACCAACAGGGCTGGGAGTCTCTGGCCCAGAGCAGTGGAAAGATGGCGGGAAATCCCCCGGCCCAAGTTAAGTTCCCAAGATTCGAAAGTGGACTTAAGTTTGCTTTTCTTCCAATGCCTAAATTACAGTTGTTTAGTTTTAAAATAGTACGATTTTCTGTTTGCTCATCTTTCTTTTAGTAGACAAATTAACATTTAAATGTGTATTCGCATATCCTGTCCTGTGTAATCTTTGTTCATCAGGGCCTTAGTAGCTTTTTATTTGCTTTTGTATTGAGGCATCTATTGCTACTATACTATACAACAGTATACTGTTGAGCATAGTTCTGTGTCTCACAGACATTCCTGCCTGTATTCCTCAGATCTCAGCCTCCTGAGTAGCTAGGATTTACTGGCGTGAGCCACTGGCTCCCAGCTTGTATTACACATTTTCTTTTTTTTATTATTGTGAAAATACTGTACAGAGGGGTTACAACTACATGGGCAAGATAATGAGTACATTTCTTATCAAGCATTGTAGCCTCCTCCATCCCCCCCCTACACCCTCCCCCCCACACCAAAGTTGTAATTTTCGACATGTACATCGATTTGTACATCTTATTATTGCAATGGGTCCACCTGTATCCCTATTTAAACGATTTGTTTTTCCCCTTCCCCTCCACAAATTATACCGATATCAAATACAGTGAAAGCAGGGGTTATACTGTGGGGGAGGTTTATTACACTACACATTTTCAGTTTGGATTCAGTGGATTCACACCCCTAGTTTCTAACATACCCAGTGATTCTGGTGCCCTCATCCTTGTGCATCAGAATTGTAGCATTTGTCAGCATTGCCTAAGGGATTAAAGTTTCTAAGATGTCTTTTCATTCTATTGAGAGTCATAACAAATACAATACATTCTCCTTGAAGCACAGTAAACATGATGTGCAGAAATTGAGGGTCTTCAGTAGTTGATGAAATTAGCTCAGGAAATTGCAACAGGGAGGCACTGAGGGCTCACCCCTGTAATCCTGTCTACTCAGGAGAGTGAGATCTGAGGATCACGATTTGAAGCTAGACCAGGCAGGAAAAGTCTGTGAGACTCTTATTTCCAATTAAGAGCCAGAAGTGGAGCTGTGGCTCAAGTGGTAGTGTGCTATCCTTGAGCAAGAAAGCTCAGGGATAATGTTCAGGCCCTTAGTTCAAGCACTAGGACTAGCATCAAAAAAAAAAAAAAAAAAAAAAAAAGATGCCGGGTGCTGGTGGCTCATGCCTTTAATCCTAGCTACTCAGGAGGCTGAGATGTGAGGATCACGATTCAAAGCCAGCCCTGGCAGGAAAGTCCGTGAGATTATTATCTCTAGTAAACCACCAGAAAACCAAAGTGGAGCTGTGGTTCAAGCGGTAGAGCCACTAGCCTTGAGCTGAAGAGCGGAAGTACAGCACCCAGGCCCAGAGTTCAAGCCCCATGACCGACAAAAAAAAAAAGAAGGAAAGCAAAGCTGTAACTTGCAGCTACCATTGCTGTTTCTCATTTGTATCCATTCATCTTTGTAAAATATTCTTCCATGGAAAAGATGTGTTCTGAAGCGAGAAGACAATTGGGTTAGTGTTGATTGTGATTATAATGAATATTCCTTATAGACTTCAATTAGCTAAGTTGAACATAGATTTATTTAAAATGATTCACTTTACAGAGAAAAAAAATACACTAAATGAAGCAACTCATCAGACACAATGGTAATCAATAGAACCAGAGTGACCCTGACCTGTTTATGTTTCATTCATCATAGAAAGTAGAAAATTCCATGCACAGATACAGGCCATCTTCAGAAGAAAGACTCACCACCTCCAGACAAGGGTTGCTTTGTTGCATATCAGAACACAGCAAGGTAGGGGCTGCAGAATAGAGAACTCACTGTAGTCACTACGCCACATTGTTCTTCACTGATAACACAGAGTAAGATTGAATCCTAAGGCTTACATCATGCACTGTTTCACAGGAGTTAGTTTGACTGTTGGAAAGGTGTTACTTAGGCTCTCCAGCCTGAGGGACATGACCACCCGGCATCATGGTTGTCAATGGGAAAAGCTATACATTTGGCAAAGGCTCCTTTGGGCCTATTTATTTTTTATGTATCTCATCAAATATAATCTACTGCTCTGCACTGAAAACTTGCTCATTAGAAGGCCTTCCTTAACAATGCTTACTAGCTATCTTAAGTAAATTTTAGTTAAAAGTTTGTGTCAACCTGGGGACTAGTGGCTCACATCTGTAATCCTAGCTACTCAGAAGGCTAAGATCTGAGGATTGAGGTTCAAAGCCAAGCCAAGCAGAGAAGTCTGTGAAACTCTTGTCTTCATTTAACCAGCAAAAGGTCAGAAGAGAAGCTGTGGCTCAAGTGGTAGAGTATCGGTCTTGAGCTAAGGGACAATGCTGAGGCCCTGAGTTCAAACTTCAGTGTACACACACACACACACACACACACACACACACACACACACACACACACACACACACACACACACACACACACACACACACACACACACACACACACACACACACACACACACACACACACACACACACACACACACAGCTCAGGCCCTGAACTTCAGTACACACACACTGCTCAGGCCCTGAGTTCAAACTTCAGTACACACACATGTTTGCTTTAGTAGCTTATTAGGCCTTTAATAGATGTTAATTATACTCTAAATGTCTTTTGAATTAAGAAACAGGAAATGATTTTACATGTACAAGCAAACCCTTTTTCTTGGAAAAAGCAGTTAAGTCAAACCCACAAAAACAAGGAGCAGAATGGCCTATTTCATTGCTGGTAGCATAGAATAGACATAAATCATGTGTCTTTTGTGGTTTTTTGGTATCAGGCATTTACTCAGAAATTTGAAGTTAGAGCATATCTAGGCACAGTGACAGCTTTATGCAAGAGCTGGATGCATAGCCAACTCAACGCGGGGAAAAATGGCCCGGATAACAAAATCATTTTTTTGTCCGGGCCAAAGATGCCTCTCCTGCTAGGATTGTAGAGCACCTTCCTTTTCAGTAGCCTCAAAACTGAAGACCGCGACTCCTGAGTGAGAGGGAGATTCTGGGTCTTTAGAGCTCTTTGACAGGAACCAGTCACGCCCTGTGTACTCATTGCTATTTAGGCAATGATTGTGTGCTTGTTATTTGAGATGGGGGTCACAGGTGTCCAGGCTGGACTCATATACCCACCTTCTAGTGGTCTCGCTTCCCGAATAGCTAGGGCTGCAGGCATCTAGTAGTAGTGTTTTACTAGGCATGGTTGGCATTCTGCTTTTATAGGGTGAACTAGTTTGAAACTTTAAAGTGTCTTGGTTTAACAAAAGCAAGCGGACAGTGACAGTTCAACTTCCCTATCGCAGATCCTGTGAAGCCGCTGGGCAGCTCTGCTCAGGCGCCTGCTGATTCACCTTTCGCTATAAACACAGCACCGCCTTCCGCCCAGGTGGATCTGTCCTCTGCTGCTCTACCTCCCTCCTACCAGCTGATCAGCCTCCCGCCACACCCCGAGACCCTTGGCACCCAGGATGATCCTCAAGACTACCTCTTGCTGATCAACTGTCAAAGCAAGAAGCCTGAGCCCATCAGGTAAGTGGGCGTAGGCCTCTGTGTGCGCGGGTAGGTGGGTGTGCCTGCTCATTTGGGGCTATGTGAACATATCTGCATTTTAAAATCTGTAAAACTTTAATTTCTTTTAAACCTTGACTTGAAGTCTTAAAAGAAACCGTATGTGTAAGCCTATTTTGTAGGTTTCTTTCAAGCTTCTATGTATATTCTCTCGTAATGACTGATATTCAGGAGACTGTTTTTGAAGAAACAGTCTTGGCCGTGTGTAGCAGAGAACTCTTTGTGGAAATCTGGCTATTGTTTGACAGGTCTTATGACAGACTCACAGTATTACTTGCTTAACAGATTTCACTCATTTATAAATGGTGACCTTGCTCCATTTCTTGTGTGATTGTAAACCAGCCAAGGGTCATCTTTTGTTTCTGAAGAAGGAGAGGAATACTTCCTGCTAGAAGATTTTGAAAGCAAAACGAATCCATTGCAGTGAGTGTGTTGTAGTTTGGGATTGGTGTGAATAACGAATCATGCAGGTAAAATCCCATTATGGCAAAGTCTATGCAATCTGTGAATTGGGTTTTAATGAAATTTGATGAAAGCTCTGGGACCTAATAAGGAAGCAGCGCTTACCCCCAAGCCTTGACTTCACAGATTTTTTTAAGTAAGATTATAGTACCCCAGAAGTGTCATAAAGCCTTTCCAAAACTTATTTGTGATTTTTCTACTCTCCTAAGCTTTATGGTATTTTAATTTAATCATCCTTGGCCTTTGGTATTGAGTAGTTGGAAGCCTTAACATTATAGAGGAGCAGGAAAATAACACTCAGCAGGCCAGTCAGTCTGTACAACTGACAGCGATGTGACCATTGGTGATGCTGTCATCAACTTACATACTGATTTATACTATAAAACTGGGGATGAGTTGTATATTAGATATGAAAATGTGTGTGTGTGTGAGCATGTGTTTGTGCCAGGAGTAGGGCTTGAACTCTCGCTTAGTTTTTCTGCTCAAGGCTGGCACTCTGAACACTTGAGCCACACCTCCACTTCTGTCTTTTTGATGGTTAATTTTGGATAAGAGGCTCTCAGGTTTGTCTACCTGGGCTGGCTTCGAACCCTGATCCTCAGGTCTCAGCCTTCTGAATCACTGTAGAGTTATAGGTGTGAGTCACTCCAGCTTTAGGCGTGAGAAAGGTTTGAAGCAGGGTTATAAGATTATACAGAACTTTCCTTTTCATGTAAAACATGATTGTTACTTGAGCTAAAATCACAGCGCTTGTTAAAAGATACTCTGTAGAATTGGCTAAGATCTACAAAATAATCCATATGAACCATTCTCCCAAGATGATAGACACACTCAGAAACATTCTAACTAAGGTCTTCTATGTATTTGTTGTAATGGGATTTTACTTGTAAGAGCAAGAAAATTTTATAAATCAACACTAGTTAATAATATCAAATTCTAACTTGATTGTGCCTGTTTGCTGTGGAGTATTTGAAATTATACACTTGAAATTTTTTTTTTATTCCTGCGTTACTAACTAAAATTTGAGTTTATGAAGATCTACTGTGACTTTCTAATGTCATTCCTTAAAAGCCAACAGCTGAAAACAACAGGGCATTTTCCTTTTCTGTTAATGTCTTTCATGGGTTTTGGTAGCATCGTGCATCTCTGTTGTGGTGGAAGTCACGCTCTGTGGGATTGCTCAGAGACACTGTGCCATGTGTATTTTACAAAAATAAAGATTCTGTAACAATGATGTATGAAGTACTCACACGTGCCTCCTGTTAAGCTAGAGGTTCTGAAGGTACAGAGTGGTGGTGTAAGGTGCATTGTCCTTACATCCAGTGTCCTTTGGAGTTTGCTCTGAGGCTTGTTGGGAAGGAAAGAATGTGAGCCCAAGTTACTTATCGATGAAGGTGTTGGGTGAGAGTAGCCTCAGAAACTCCCGGTTCATTTGACAAGATGCCGCAGAGAGGTGCTTCCCTAGGAAGTGTTTTTCCCAAACTCTTGGTTTGGATCAGATGCCTTTGGGGTTTTGATAGCAAGCTGTAAAACAGATTCCTTCACACTTCTTTCCGCTTTGTCATCGTATTGGAAATCACCTGATCGTTTTCCTTCCTTGGTACAGAACTGTCAGCTAGTCAGAGCAAGAAGCCTTGCTGATTACGAATTATGCTGACAGTCTGTCTTTTGGTCATTATTTAGTTCTGCTGTTTCTTTGCCTTTTTGACCTAATTCTTCTCCTCAGCTCCCGATACCCTATTTACAACATGTTCTGTTCTTTCGGTGAGACATGTTATTGAGTTTTTAAATTTGGGCTATTGTCCTCTTTTATTTGCAGAGTTTGATGTTATTGAATTCTCTTTCATATCCTACATTGCCTTATTTCTCTCAGCTGTTTGAATAATCTTGTTGGGTTTTTCTTTTTTTCGTTTGTTTGCATTCTCCTTGAACTTGTTCAGGTGTCTTAAAATAAACATTATTTACTTTTCTCATTGACCATTCCTATCATTAATTCATTGAATCTGTTGTTTGAACTTCCTTCCTTCTCTCTGTCACTTAAGTCCTTCATTGTACAGTTGTTTGCTTTTGAGGGAAACTTGTTGCCTTGGTTACTCAAGAATTAAGTGATTTTTTTTTTCCCCCGCATTGAGATTTACACATCTGGGGCCAAGTTACAGTGCAGATAGCAATCTCTTGTGTCCTTTGAGTTGCTGGTGTCTTGCAGATTACTTAATACTGGGTAGTGACTGGGTTGGTTATCAGATTGTCTCAGTGTTCAGGATTGTTTGCATACCTCTTCTCCACTCAGCTGTCTGAATTGGCAGCCTCTGCCTGGCCTTCCCAGGCCTCCGCTGGGGAGACCGGCAGCCACCAGGCCTGCGCGTCTGCTGCGGGCCCTGCCAAAAATCCCGGACCTCTGGCATCTCGCAAGATAATGTTGCTTCCCACGGTTTGAGATCGTCTGTGGGCTTCTGTCAGACACCTGCCTCTTCTTAGCCATCTAATGTGACCGGCTTATTCCTGGATTCCATGCACAATGTCCCGTGAGCCCTTGGAGCCACAGTGACCCCTTACCGCCCCCCAGAGTCGCTCAGTCCTGACACCATGCTTGCTCTCCAGGATCTGTGGAGCCACACAGTGTTGCCCCTCACATCTGCGTATTCCCCGCCTCACACATTTCTATCCCGGAGTGAAGGCTAGTGTGCTATGTGTTAGCAGGCAACACGGATTCCACCATCGGATTCCACGCAGTGTACCCTCCTGCTGTTGGAGAGCCGCGCAGAAGCCTTCGTGAAGGGCCTTGGGGCCGTGCTTCTGCCAGGCTGGTCTTCCTGCCATTTCTCTGCCTTCCTAGTTTCTGCTCCATTTCTCGCTTTCTCTCTTCAGAATCAAATCTCTTCTCTGACGCCAGATTCTTTTCATTTACCAAGTGAGAATGGCAGCGGCTTCTCATCCATCCTCTCGTCCTCCTCCCGCACCCAGTCTCAGGACGAAGAACGGATGTTATACTCTGCCTGGGCGCCTGAGGAGTCCCACCGAGGGGCAGTGTGTTTTCAAGCTGGGAACACAGAGCTTCTTGGAGGATGAGACCTGAGCACCAGCTAGCTGGCCTTAGAGAAGGAGAAGATCACCAGTCACGTGTGCCAAAACTTGAGAAAGGATGAGCGAGAATGAGTGTGGCGGGAGGGAGAAAAAGAGGAGCGTCTGCTTGGGGAAAGGGTGCAATGCGCAGCAGGTCATTCGAGTCGGAGCAGGGTGTTAGCAGCCTGGATTCTGCGTAGCATCGTTGGTGGCCTTGCCATTCTTGCAGCTGGTAGGTTTTTTGCTGAGCAGATGAATAATGTCAGAACTATATTGTGAAGATCTTGGTCTTAAAGCGGTATGGCTGTGGGTAGACTGGTGGAGGGAGAAAAGTCCAGTTAGGAGAGCTTAATACTGCAGTCCCCAGAGGTGAGGGACCTGAACGTGGGGGGTGACTAGAACAAAGGGTAGATACGAGGTCGGGGAGAAGGCGGTGGGCTGTGTGCTGAAATGATGGTGCAGCCGAGAGAATCGAGCCGATTGGATTTTGAGTCTAGCAAAGATGGAGTTTCTTTCAGTGCGTGTCAGGAAAGAATCAATTTGAGAAGTGAATTTAATTTAGTTAGGAACACATGAGCGAGGTCATTCAGGGATTATCAAGAGGAAATAATCAGGCTCACGAGTTTAGCATTCCCCCAAAAGCGAAAGTACAAGAAAGGAAAATTCCAGAATTGCATGTGTCGTAAATCATTGAGGACTAAACTTTGAGGAGGTCACCAGTGGCCTGTAATCTAGATACTTGGGAGGCTGAGATTTAAGGATCATGGTTTGAAGCCAGCTCAGGCAGGAAAGCCCAGGAGACTCTGATCTCCAATTAACTACTCCTCCCCGAAATAAGACCAGAAGTGGAGCTGTGACTCAGGTAGTAGAGCACTACCCTTCAGCTTAGCGACAGCACCCAGGCCCCAGGCCCTGCACCCCCCAAAACAACAACAACAACAACTCACTTTCATGGTCATTCCTAGGTAAAAAGACAGAAGGCAGAAGCCAGCCACTGAACAGAGGAAGTGAGTAATCTGAAGAACACTGGAGGAGGGAGAGCTTGAGTTTCTACAGGACCTCACAGTGCCTACAGGTGTAGCTCAGGTGTCTTGTTTATCATTGAGGAAGTGAGGACAGCTGTGCTATTAGCATTTCCTCCTGGCTTATAGAGAAATTCTGTGGATAACTTCCTAATACAAGAGACAGAGTCTGTACCCCCAAAGCAAGGTAGCCTCAAATGAGTTTTCTTTTGGTTGTTGGAGCTGGGTAATGAACTCTATGCCGTATGTGCCATGGATCTCTTCCTAGTGTTGGCTCAGTGTTTTTTAACAGAAGCTTACTGGAAGGGCTGGCACAGGAGACAGGTTGTTAGCCGCTTTCTTCTAGGTCTTGGTTAGGCAGAACAAGTTTGCCACAGGCTTAAAGAGCAGTGAATCCATGTTCTAAGCCGGCGCCAGCTTTTGCGTGTTCTTTCATAGGAAGTACTTTTCCTGTGTGTGTACCTTCTCCATTTTCCTTCCGAGACTTTTGTCACGTCTAATGGTAGTGCTTCAGGATTGTGGTTTTTAGGTGTGGATTTCTTAGGTAGAATTGGGGGTACGGGCAGAACAGGAATCACGGAGAATGCTTCTGGTAGTTTCGTGGTGGTGGTGGTTTTGTTGTCGGTGTATAATCCTAAAAAATAAAAACTGAAGACCATTTGTGCTTTAAATCTTATGGATCATACACGCAAAGAAATCTAATGGCAAAAAAAAAAAAAAAACCCCACCTGTATTTTGATGGCTTCACTATGAATGTATTTGCCAAAACTCTAGTCTTATGTCTTGACCCTATTTTCTTCTGTCGTCAACCATGTTTGTTTAGAGCCCACGCTGATTCGGCAAAAACCACTTCCTCTGAAACGGACTGCAACGACAATGTCCCCGCTCCCAAAAGCACCGCCTCCTCCCACGGCAAACACGGCATGAACGGCTTCTTCCAGCAGCAGCTGACGTATGACTCCCCGCCCGCGCGGGCCACGTCCCTCTCTGCCGACTCCAGCCTCTATAACCTGCCCCGGAGTTACTCCCACGATGTGTTGCCAAAGGAATCTCCATCGAGTACCGAAGCAGACGGAGAACTCTATGTTTTCAATACCCCATCTGGGACGTCCAGCTTAGAGACGCAGCTGAGACACGTGTCTATCAGTTATGACATTCCTCCAACACCTGGTAATACGTACCAGATTCCACGGACCTTTCCCGATGGCACCCTGGGACAGACGTCCAAGCTAGATGGTATTCCAGACATCCCTCCACCTCGGCCGCCCAAGCCACACCCGAGTCTTGACCGCTCTCCCGTGGACACCTGTAGCATCCAGCGCGCGGCCTCAGACACTGACAGCAGTTACTGCATCCCCACTGCAGGAATGCCGCCGTCACGCAGTAACACCGTCTCCACCGTGGATTTGAACAAGTTGCGCAAAGGTCAGCTCTGGCCAGCGTCCTCTCTTAGGAGAGGCTGATGGCAAAAGTGTTCTTCTGAATGGTTGCTCCTCTCAGTATAGAGTGAGGGTCACCACATCCCTCTTCTCCAGCTCTGTGGTCCTGTCCCCACCCAGCCACCCACCTATCGTATAGTCGCCATGCCGGAGGCCCAGCCCATTGCTGGAGGAATGGGCATGCTTGTTCTGCTGGAGGAATGTGCATGCTTGTTCTGCTGGAGGAATGTGCATGCTTGTTCTGCTGGAAGGGAGGAACTGGGAGTTTCTCATTCTGAAGGAGAATGGCCTTAGTGATCTCTTCCAGCCTCAGGAAGAGAGAGAGAGAGAGAGAGAGAGAGAGTGTATGTGTGTGTCTGTGTCTGTCTGTGTGTGTGTCTGTGTCTGCCTGCCTGCCTGCCCGCCCACCTGCCCATCCCTCCCTCCCTCCTTCCCTCCCTCCCTCTCAGCTTTTGCTTCCTAGGTGAGAGGCTGTTTGTTCAGAGAGAAATTATAAAAATAGAGCAACCCCAGGTTCTCCCAGTCCAGCCCCTTCAGATGGATGTGTGCTGTTACACCAACTTCCGTGCCACATGTGTTGGGCGCTGTTGTCTTCCTTCCTATATAAGTAATTTAAAATTTTTAATTGTTATATATTGTGCTGGTTCTGGGGCTTGATTGAGCTCAGGACCAGAGCATTCTCCCTTAGCTTTTTCACTCTACCATTGGAAACACAATTCTGCTTCTAGCTTTTAGCTGGTTAACTGGAGATGAAAGTTGCACCGACTTAACTCCCTGGGCTGATTTTGAACTGTGATCCTCAGACCTCACTTCTGAGTAACTAGGATTACAGGTACAGTGGTACCCGGCTCATCCTTTTTTAGATTGCCACAGGTGTACACACATACACACACACGCACGCACGCACGCACACGCAAAGAGAGAGTGGATCATTCCCGTTTACCTTGATAGCTATCAGCTGGGAAGAGATGTTGATTGTTTGTTCTTCTTTCTAGATGCTAGTTCTCAAGACTGCTATGATATTCCACGAACATTTCCAAGTGACAGGTCTAGTTCACTTGAAGGCTTCCATAACCACTTCGTAAGTATAATTGTCCTTGGAATTATCTAGACTATTTCATTGTCCAGATCTTCCTACTGAATACTTTGAGGTTAAATGATATCCTGGAATGACCCATAATAAAAATTTACCTGATTTGGGAGGGATAGGGGAAGCACAGTAACAATGGGACAAAGGGTACCAATACTCACTAGACACTATATTGGAAAAGAACTATACAACTTGGAGAGAGGGGAGTCAGGAGGGGGAAAACTGGGGAGAAAATGAGGGAGAGGGTGACTGTTCACAAGGAAATGTACGTATTACCAGACTTAGGTCACTGTCCCCCCTCTGTACAGCACCGTACAATAAAATTTAAATTAAAAAACCAAAAAGAATCGCCCCTCCCCTCATTGTGCTTGTGTGTCGGACAGTCATTTCTGCTTATTGAAAACAAAACGTATGTGTGCTTTAGAAAATCAAAAATGTGTTGGCCGTGGGAAGCATGTCAAGTGAGGAACTGGACGAAAACTACGTCCCGATGAACCCCAACTCACCACCAAGACAACATTCCAGTAGCTTTACCGAGTCAATTCAGGAAGCGAATTATGTGCCAATGACTCCGGGAACATTTGATTTCTCTTCCTTTGGAATGCAAGTCCCTCCTCCTGCACATATGGGCTTCAGGTCCAGCCCTAAGACCCCTCCCAGAAGGCCAGTCCCTGTGGCCGACTGTGAGCCGCCCCCGGTGGACAGGAACCTCAAGCCGGACCGAAAAGGTAAGGGGAATTTGGCAGGCACAAGAATCGGGGCAGAGTGCAGAGTTAGATCTGCAGTTAACTGTTGCTACACAATGAAACTGCTATGGGGCTAGACCTTCCCACACTTTTCACAGTATCTGGGTCGTCGACCTCAGCAAAGCCAGGCTGCTATTTATAGATTCGTAGGTTGATGGCCAGGTGAGATTTTGAGCTTCCTGTTTCTAGAGTAGAGGTTACAAGTGAAACTACCCAGAGGCCTTGGCAGGCAGCAGGGGAGAGTGAGGAGACTCTGGAACTGCCTTTCCTGTCCTCAATGGAGCGCCTTGGTGCCTGCGCCGCTGCAGTCCCTTGTGATTCGTGAGACTTTGGGATTCATTATGGTCTCTCAAGAGAAGGTAGAAATCTAGGTGATTTTAAGTATCGTTTCTTGACTTTAAAAATTCTTATCAGCTCATTTGTGGATCAAAAAAAAAATTACAGCCTAAATCCAACAATTCTGCAAACTAGGGATGGCCCTTAGTTCCTATTTCCTAAAATCTTCTCCAGCGTATTTAGTAACAGCAGATTTAAGATTATTAGTGCACTTGATAGAATTATTTGAGAATAATAAGAATGCCTTATAATCTTCCTATTTCATACATATAACAACTTTCATCCTCTGCTAGGGAATAAATAAATTCTTCTGGTCTCTTCTTTTACACTGGACTTTGTAAGTAATATTAAATTCTAAAATAGAGAAAAAAGTATGGCGTCAGGAGTAAACCTCCTTGCTAGCAAGTAAAAGGCCCTGAGTTTGAACTGCAATACTGGAAAGAGAGAAGGTGGGGGAGAAAGAAAGAAAAGATAAGAAAGGAACAAGAAGGAAAAGAAAGTGGGTGCTGATGGCTCACACCTATAATCCTAGCTGCTCAAGAGGATGAGATCTGAGGATTATGGTTTGAAGGCAGCCTGAGCAGGAAAGTCTGTGAGACTGATCTCCAGTTATAACCCACAAAAGGCTGAAAGTGTGGCTCAAGTGGTAGAGTGTCAGTCTTCAGTGAAGGAAAACTAAGGGACCGTACCTAGGGCCCGAGTTCAACCATTAGTGCCTGCACACAGAAAGGGGGTGGGGGGCAGGAGACAGAGACAAAGGAAAAAAGACAAAAAACAAAACTCTTAAGTAGCACGTAAGATATCCTGGCTGACATTGGATAATATCTGTTCAGGTTTTGGACATTTGGGTTGAGGTCATTTAAGCACTGACCACCAGCTGATCTGCAGCATGCTTTCGGGTGACACCAGCCCAGAATGTCTGTACCCTGGAAGCCGCCTGCCATATGCAGCTTCTTAATGCACAGCCGTGGTGTACATGCCTCACTAACCCGGCTTGTATCATGACCCCTGCTGCTAAGTTTGGGTTGTGGACAAGAGAACTTTAGACTCAGACTCAAAAAAAAAAAAAAAGCGTTGGGTTTTTAAGTACGCAGGGATGCTCTTGAAACAAGACCAGAAGCAGAAAGGGGGCAGTTCTAGGGGAGGGGTGCCCTGTCCTGTCCTCTGTGCACTCTGTCTCTTGGGTGGTCCTTGCCCCTTCTTTGATCTCTCCCTTCCCCCCTTCTCTTCTATCTTCTGCTCTGTGTTAAATGAGCTCTACTCTCTGAGGGCTTTGGTGGGCTGCGGGTCTGTGGGACCGGATCCTGCCTCCTGCCTCCTTTATTATGCATCTGTGCAGCCTCTGCATCTGGTTCTAACACCCTATTGATCCTGTGCTCACTTCAGGTGGCTCAGAGGTCACGTAATTGGTCCAGTTTGTCTGTTCACCTAGTCCACATTCTAGCTTGTAGGTCAGCCATACACTGGCTCCTGTTGGGACAAGTGTCCACAATTGATCCCACAACTGTGAAGATAAGTTATGTGTGACACAGCGGCCACCCAGGCACAAAGGGCTATGGTTAGAGTGACCAAATCTGTTCTTCCCCGTGACTCTTATTCTCTGAAATAAGAAAATCTACTTCTGTCAGATAGAGCTTGATTACTTTCAAGCTTGATAACGCGTTCAACATCCAGGACCTTTGTGATTCCTGTTCTTTCGATGGTTCTAAATGCGCAGGTGGCGTTCTAGTCTTGTTTCAGCCCTGCTTTAGCAGACAGCTGTTGTGGTGTGGAGAACAAGTGAGGTTTTCAAATGTTTCTGGGTAATAGAAGCTGCAGCGGTCTGCATGCGCTCTGAATACCAACACCTCACGTAGTAACACGAACCTCTTGCCTCTCGCCCAGTTTGTGCTCGCCGTATTTTCATATACTAGATCCATCACTGTAGTGTTTGTTTTGGTGAAATTTTTTCACATACTGTAGTAATAGAAGGGAGGTTTTTAAGCTTGTCTGAACTACTGGGAAAGCAGATTAAATCACTTGAAGTGCAGGCCAGATTTGTATTTTTACTATTTCAAAGTTTTGTATTTCTAATGGAAAAAGTGATCTTGTAAAGTGTGGGAAATTTCAGTAAGGTACCTATTGTGGCGTCTCTAAAAGTAAGTCCGCATATAAATGAACCATATTTACTCAATGAACTCACCTAAGCCAATGGCTCACACCTATAATCCTATCTAAGTGGGAGGCTGAGACCTGAGGGTCTTGGTTTAAAGTAGCCCAGCCAGGAAAGATTGAGACTTTGTGTCCAGTTAAGCAGCAGAAATGTAGGACTGGATGCGTGGCTCATGTGGTAGAGCATCAGCCACGAATGGAAAAAGACTAAATGAGAGCAAAGGCCCTGAGTTTGAACCCCAGTAAAAACAAACAAGCTCACCCAACCCCTTCGCCTCATCTCCTAATGTGATATGCTTATTCTAGCCTTGTTTTTCTTTTTTCCCAAGAGACCCTAAAAGATGTTTCTGAATTTAACATTTTTTAAAATAGTACATTCATACAAGAATAACTGTTTGGAGGATGGATAATATCAATAACAAGACTTCAATACACAAGCATTAAAGTTTGGATACTAAGGCTGTAAGTCAAATTTGTTATAGTTTAAAGGAAACAGGGCTAGGAATGTGGCTCAGTGGTAGAGCGCTTGCATGCATGAAGCCCTGGGTTCGATTCCTTAGTACCACATAAATGGAAAAAGCCTGAAGTAGTACTGTGGCTCAAGTGGTAGAGTTCTAGCCTTCAGCTAGAGAAGCTCAGGAACAATGCCCAAGTCCTGAGTTCAAGCCCCAGGATTGGCAAAATAAAGGAAATAGATATGGAGTACAGTTTTATAGTATAGCTTTATTAAGGTAAGAAGTCCCTAAGTGTTCTTGACCTTTTATGATTGTAATTATTACATTATTATATTCCTCTTTATACAGTGAGACTATTAGAACAAGTATAAACATTTTTCTGAGGCTATCTGACTACCTGTTGGAATCAGTGGAGGATAATTGTGTGAATTTTCTTTCATCTTCATTTTGGAGATGTTTGCTGGAAAAACTATAAAACTTTTGCTATAAAACTTTGGAAAAGGAAATCATTGAAGCTACATTAAACACATAGTAATACAGAAAATAAAATTCTCATTTCGTTGAGTGTATCTGAGCAGTCCCGATGAGAATACTCACTAGCTGAGCACCAGTGGCTCACGCCTATAAATCCTAGCTCCTTGGAGGCTGAGATCTGAGGGCTGATGTTCAAAGGGAGCCTGGGCAGATAAAATCAAGACTCTTATCTCCACTTAACCACCCAAAAAGCCACAAGCCTTGAGTGGGAAAGCCAAGAGAGATAAAGGTCCTGAGTTCAAGCCCCAGTACTATCACAAAAGCAAAACAAACCAAACCAACTTAGTATAAGTGGACTTCCGAAAGGATTCCATCTGCCTGGTTGAAACACGACCTCCCCACTACCGTAACCAAATGTGGGATAAACAGCTTTCACAGTAACATCCAGTTGTCTACCTTTTCCTCTAGAAGGACAAAGCAATACTTTCAGATTGGGCTAGGCGAGCTGTTCCAAACTCAAGGAGGACAGGTCACCTCCCTGCAGAAGCTCACCGCGTAGGTCTCGCGGAGGAGGGAGAAAAGTAAACCCATGATCATAATTGCCAGGAAGGGGCTGTGGTTGAGGTAAGTGGTTGGCACTGTGCGGGAAGCTCCCCCCGCCCACCTCCCCCCAGCCAGGGTTCAGAGCATGGATGGCAATTACGTGGTGGTAGGAGGGCAAGAAGTTTCTGGAACTTATCCTTAGAGGAAACCTCATACTAGATCCTTTCACAGAGAGGGAGCATAAAACTGGCTCAGTATTGCCAGTGGGTAGGTGGCCAGAAAGGAGGGAGGAAAATACCGAGAGCATAAAGGAATGCCAGATGCCTTGCGGGTGCCTGATCTCCCTCACCCGTGTCATGATCCACGCTAATGAGGCCGGCCTTCACTCTGACACGCTGTTATAGAGCTTCAGGCGGACCTGTAACACGATCGGGCTGTCTCTAGGCAGCTCATTGTGATTAAAGAATACAGTAGAAGAAAATAATTATACTCTTTCAAGTAAAATGATGTAAAAATCACACCTTTTCACATCATCTGTCTTGGGGAGCTTTGCCAGGGTTTCCCAATTCCAGGATTCATGAAGCTTGGTTGGGACGAGGTCAAATGGGAAAGGTGTAACAAAAGCCCCTTTTCTGGGCCTTTCGTCACCTGGGGTGGGGAGTAGGGAGGCTTACAGTGACTTTCAGGAGATTGAAGGCACTCAGAACAGGCCACACAACAATACCACGTGAGAGATGCAGCAGGTGGTACAGTTGAACTCTCCTGTAGTATCGTAGCTTGCCAAGATGTCTGCCCTAGAAAAGCGCCTGCTCTGGGCTGCCCCATCCTTCCAGCGCAAAAGAGCAGGGCTTGTTGAGGCTCCTTATGCCTGGAAAGTCATGTTCACAGTGATCCAAATACTTGGAGGGAGGTCCTTGGATTCAGTCTTCTGCTTGTGATGGTCATTTAGGGGCACAGGCAAGGGCGGCTGGAGAATTGTGCTATGCATTTTATGTCATTTGCAGGGAAATGGATGGATTTAGAAAAAATTATGTTAAATACGTCCTTCTCAGAGAGACAGACAGCACATTTTCTCTCATATGTAGAAGTTGGATCTAAATACAAACTTCCGTGATAACATATGCACGGTGATGTGTGTGTACACACACACAGACAAAAGGGAGGCGTCCAGTGGTGTAACTCTTTTGAACAACTAATAAACCACTTCGCATAATAAAGAAACAAGAATCAGAATGGGGGGGGCAAGGAGAGGGGAAGTGTGAGGAAATACAGTGATCGTATTCAGTGTACACTATGTTGCGATGGATGGGCTGGGAAGGTGGCTCAGTGGTAGAGCGCTTGCCTTGCATGCATGAGGCCCTGGGTTCAATTCCTCAGCACCACATAAGCAGAAAAAGCCGGAAGTGGCACTGTGGCTCAAGTGGTAGAGTGCTGGCCTGGAGCTGAAAAGCTGAGGGACAGCGCCCAGGCCCAGAGTTCAGGCCCCATGACCGGACCTCCCCCCCAAAAAAAAAATGTACTATGTTGTGATGGAAACACATAACTTGAGGGCAGGGACAGGAGGGAGAGAATGAGGGAAGGGCTGACGCCGATCGGAAGGTGTTGTACTTAAACTCCTCGAATTGAAGCACCTTTGTGCAGCTACTTAATTAAAAAAAATAAATACTGGGTTCAAGCCCCAGGACCAGCACAAAGAGTGAAATAAAATACTGGAAGGACAATTGGACAAAAAGTGAAAAATCGGACAAAAAAGTGAGAAACAAGAATTAGATAGAGCTGGCACAACGTCCAACATCGATTACATAACCACGGACCTAGACAGGAGGCCGAGGGTTCTGCGTGGAGCATGCGCTGTGGCCCGTGGGAGGTAACCACAGTGGTTTACGTCTAAAGCTACAGAGCTGATGAAAAACTGGCCCTTCAGAAAAGAGAGAGAGAGGAAGACAGCCAGGGGCACAAACACTTAAAAACCCAGAGTAACTCAAAGCTTTTTGTCATTGTTATCCACCCCCACGAGTGAGCTGTCTGTGGTCATCTGTAGTGCCCTAAGCCACAGCCAGCCTTCAGAGTGATAGCAGCCATTCACCCAACTGTGCTAAACTCCTTTTCTTCTCTTTAGTTGGCTTAATGTGTGACCATGAATAGGTTGCTACAACCAAATTGGAGAATTCAAAAAACTGAATACCAGCCCACTGGTGGGCTAGTGCTTCCTAGCTATTCAGGAGTCTGAGATCTAAGGATCATGGTTCAAAGCCAGGCTGGACAGGAAAGTTTTCCAAAGAACCACCAGAAAAACGAAAGTGGCACTGTTGCTCAGAGTCGTAGAGTACTAGTCTTGAGCAAAAAAAGCTCCGGGACAGCACCAGGCCTTGAGTTCAAGCCCCACAACCAGCATATATATATATATATATATATATATATATATATATATATATGTAATTCTTGCAAGACAAAGTCAGTGGGCATGTACTAAGTATCCAGGGAAAAACAAATCACCATCAAAGCATTTGGTTTTGTGATTAGCAAATGTGTGTTTGCCACCTGCTTCTCTACAAGGGCATCAGCTAGGAAGTAAAGGAATGATCAAAATTTGGTGTTTAAAACATCTGTCTTGTCTCCAAAAAGTACTTCCATGGGAAAAGGAGGTTTTATGTTTTCTCATAAATTGTAAAGAAAACATGACAGGGACTGGGAAGGTGGCTCAATAGTAGAGTGCTTCATAGCACCCCTGAAGCCCTTGGTTCAGTCCCTTAGTACGACACATACAGAAAACGCTGGAAATGGCACTGTAGCTCAAGTGATAGAGTGCTAGCGTTGAACAAAAGAAGCTTAGGGACAGTGCCCACGCCCTGAGTTCAAGCCCCAGGACTGGCAAAAAAAGAAAAGAAAACATGTCACCAGGAGCCAGTGGCTCATGCCTATCATCCTAGTTACTCAGGAGGCTGAGATCTGAGGATTGCAGTTCAAAGCCAGCCCAAGCAGGAAAGTCTGTGAGACTCATATCTCCAGAAAACCAGAAGTGGCACTGTGGCTCAAGTGATAGAGCACTAGTCTTGAGCTGAAGAGCTGAGGTACAGTGCCTGGGTCCAGAGTTCAAGCCCCACGACTGACCAAAAAAAAAAGAAAAGAAAAAAGAAAACATGTCATTGGAGTCTCACGGACTTTTCTGCCTGGGCTGGCTTTGAACCGTGATCCTCAGATCTCAGCCTCCTGAGTAGCTAGGATTTCAGGGGTGAGCCACCTGGGCGCCCAGCTTTGGATCCTGTTTTTTAAGACATGTTAGAAGAAAAACTAACATGGCATGTGTTCTTCCCCTCTTCCTCCCCATCAAGAGTACTAACCAGGCTGGTGATCTGCTCAGCCTAACACCTTTCATAACCTTCGTGTGTTCCACGTTGCACGCAGCACCCCTTCCTCCTGCTCAGCATGACCAAGTGTGTGTGGCAACATTGGAGTCTTTCCCACATGGTTCTGAGATAGAACATTTCTGCACAGGGCTCTGGTTGCTTTTTTTTTTTTTTTAATTTCCTTTTTACAGATCCATTTTCCCAATTAAACAATAACATTCTATTAAAAGAGTCTTCTTTTTACCAATTAGGTCAAAGTCCTAAAATTTTAAGACCTAAACCCCATGGTTTAGAGCGAACTGATTCACAAACCATAGGTGACTTTGCTACAAGAAGAAAGGGTATGTACTTCAGCACCGCATGCTCTGTGGGGTGTTGGGAGTTCATTTTATTTTGTAATGGTTTTCTTGTTACTTTAGTGTTATTTTACAACTGCTCTTGCAGCCCCCAGCATGTTATTTCTAAAATGAATGCCTCTCATGACACATGATGAATCTATGTTACCCGCTTATCAGCAGCATGTTAAATGTTTGATATGTTGTAGTCAGCTTGGTCTTTTGTGTTATTCCCTTAATCGTTTTCTTTAAGCTCGTAAATTGCTTGTGAATCTCAGTTGTTTTCCTCTGTGTGTGTTTGTTGCATAATATATACACATGTAACATATATGTATGTATTTTGTTCTGAGACTAAATATTATTTCCATGTATTAAGTATGCCATTACTTAGAAATTGAGAGCTAAACTTTTATTAGGCTTTTGGTAGCAAAAAAAATTAAAACATTAAAGAAAAAGCTTGAATAGAACAACATTCTGTATATTTCTTTAAGGATATAGATAAGAAAAGTTTTTTAACTTGATTTTAATACATCTAATCTTCCTTATATTTGAGTTGACAAAAATACTCATTTGTGGGCTGGAGTGGTGGCTCAGTGGTAGAGTGCTTGCCTTGCACGCATGAGGCCCTGGGTTCCACTCCTCGGCAGCACATAAACAGAAAAAACTGGAAGTGGCGCTGTGGCTCAAGTGATACAGAGCCCTGGCCTTGAGCTGAAGAGCTCAGGGACAGCACCCAGGCCCAGAGTTCAGGCCTCATGACTCACCAAAAGAAAAAAAAATAAATAAAAAGCTTAGTTGTAAGCTCCTGAGAGTCTGTTTAGACCTTTAAAATGAACACTTATTTTTGTAGTTTCATGGTAATTATAGCACCGTTGATTAAAATTACATTTGTGAAAAAAGAATGAGGAAAAATGAGCATTTTTCTTTGAAGTGACAGGATGAAAGATAACTGAAATTTTCCAATATGTTTAAGCAGTCTTCTGAAATATTAATACAAACAGATTGTATTATTTTGGGGTTTTTTTTTTGTTGTTGTTGCTTACTCCATACATTTCTGAAAAGGATTTCAATCAGTCTTGACTGAAAAGGCCCAGATCTCATAAGACTCCTCCTTAAGAAACAGATCCCGGAGCTGGGAAGGTGGCTCAGTGGTAGAGCGCTTGCCTTGCATGCCAGAGGCCCTGGGTTCGATTCCTCAGCACCACATAAGCAAAAAGAAAAAAGCCGGAAGTGGCGCTGTGGCTCAAGTGGTAGAGTGCTAGCCTTGAGCTGAAGAGCTGAGGGACAGCGCCCAGGCCCAGAGTTCAGGCCCCACGACCAGACTCCCCCCCCCCCCAAAAAAAAAGAAACAGATCCCAAGGACTCTGGGGTACATATTAGTCTGATTGTCTACTGTGATCATGAGATAATAAGTAAAGATCTCTTATGAATAAAAATATTAGAATTACTTAATTTTCTTTAGTAGGGAGTTCCTAAGTTAAACTAAAAATATAAGGTGATTGTTTGAAAAGTAATTATGTAAATTTCCTAGAGCTATATTTGAATCTAAAGATAACAATTATTCCTTTGTTTGTTTCAAGTTTGGGTAGGAATTGTTCTCAAATCTTTGCTCATTAACTCTTGGGTTTAGCAGTTTTGGTTTTGTTTGAACTAATTTTCTCTCTAATACTGCCTATTCATCATTTTTCATACCTGACTGTAAACTGATGCTCAAGTATTGAATAATTGGAACACTTTTACATAGATCATCCCATATTTACGTGAGGATGGAATTCATAAAGAATGAATGAATGGACGAAATAAGGAAATGTATAAGTCAAGTAACTATGGAAGAATTTGGTCACACTATTCTTTTTTGTTTTCATTTAGTTTATATCCATAAAATATTCTACTTATATTTCAAAGCAACATGTTGCAATAGAGCTTTGAGTTAAGAATCATGAAACATAACCTGATTTATCGTTTGCCACTATTTAGCTCTAACCTTAGCATGTGACATCCGTGAACCTCAGTTCATCTGTGAGAAATAGAGAGTGGATTTTGAGTGGATTTTGGTTTGTTTTCTTCTGTATACTAAAGGCTCCTTTTTCTCATTTTCTTTTCAGCCAAGCCAGCACCTTTAGAAATAAAACCTTTGCCAGAATGGGAAGAGCTGCAGGCTCCAGTTAGATCTCCAATCACCAGGAGTTTTGCTCGAGAGTAAGTACTTGGTTAGAATGGGCAATATGAAAGTCCTGACTATCTAGAATTGTTCGTTATCAAGGAATATGTCTAGAAAAAATGGTTTCCAAGAATGGCTTGGAGATCCCTCCTTTTGGAGCTTCTATAAAGTTAAAACTATTTTTAGTCTGGAAATCAGTAGCTCACTCCTGTGATCCCAGCTACTTGTGAGGCTGATAATGGAGAACTCTAGTTCAGGGCCAGCCTAGAGGAAGCAGACCTGGGGGGGCGGGGGGGGGGGGGGGCTATGCATGGTACAACACTAGCCTTGAGCGAAGACAGCAAACTCGCAGCCAAGCATTGAGTTCGAGCTCCCATTCCACCAGCACCGAAAAAGGAAAATCCCAGGCCAGTATAGGTAGGAAAGTCTGCAAGACTTCATCTTAATGGAGACAAGGTGATGTGGTGGTGTGTGCTGCAACAGGAAGTCTAAAAAATAGGTGGATCATAGTCCAGGTATATAGATCCAAGATCCTATCTTAAAAATAACCAGTGCAGGGCTGGGAAGGTGGTTCAGTGGTAGAGCGCCTGCCTTGCATGCATGAAGCCCTGGGTTCGATTCCTCAGCACCAAATAAGCAAAAAAGAAAAAAAGCTGGAAGTAGCACTGTGGCTCTTGTGATAGTGCTCTAGCCTTGAGCAAAAGGGGCTTAGGGACAGCGCCCAGGCCCAGAGTTCAGACCCCAGGTCTGGCAAAAAAAAAAAAAATAAAGTGTCTTAAAGGAGGAACACAAAGGCACAATGATTATGTGCCTCTGATCATATAAAATAATATTTATCAAACTCAAGAAATGGAAACAAGAAAAAATAAGTCAATCAAATAAATAAAGCACTTGTTAAAGAGAACGAAATAACCAGGGAAAAACAGAGTTGGAGGCAGAGTGGTAGGGAATCTGCCTAACAAGTAGAAGGTCCTGAGTTTAAACTCAAGTACCACCAAACAGAAAAACAGGACTTTTCATTAAGATACTAAAATGTTGGCCGTTGGAGTAATCCAGCTGAGGCCCTGATTTCAATCCTCAATACCGGGGAAATGAAAAAACGGTCATTCTCCCTTCTGGAGCATGCTATGTCATGAGATAGAATAAATATGGTAAATACCAGTAGCATAACTCAGACAGTACCTTGGAATTTTTAATAATTATGAAGTATGAAGAGTTCACAAGACCCAAAATTTTGGAAGGCTCTTGACTTAAAAATATAGTACTGTAAAGGGCACCCGTGCGCCAGCCTTGAGCAGAGGAGCTGAGGGACAGCGCCCAGGCCTAGAGTTCAAGCCCCACGAACATCACAAAATAAAACTCAAACCAAAAAAATCCGAATCTTAAAAATACAGTAGTTTCTTGTGAGGCTGATTTAATTGGAATTTGTTTAAAGGTATATATGGAAATAAGAGTTTTTATATATAGATTCTTACTGTTGTTTTTTTAATCTGACTTTGTACTTACTCAGTTACTGGTAATACTTTCTGCTGTATTACATTCGATAATTTTATATCCAAAGTCTTCTCTTTAATATTCTTGTAAGTATTACTTGTAATGTGTACCATAAAATGCATTACATAGACAGCTGTAGACATACGTGTCTATGGGGGAAGGAGTGCAGACTTGGGCTGGTTTGATTTTGGGGGTGATCTTGACAGCTCCCCGAGGCTGACGACCTGTACCCTTAGTTCTTCCAGGTTCCCCATGTCGCCGCGGCCAGATTCTGTGCACAGCACCACGTCCAGCAGTGACTCCCACGACAGCGAGGAGAGCTACGTCCCCATGAACCCAGCCCTGGCCGGTGAAGACCCGGTATGCAGTCTCCTCCTCTTCCTCCTGAGCAGCCCTGACATCGTTCCTGCTGTAGCCTTCCTTCTAGTTCAAGAAACTTTGCCTCCTGTGTTTCCTCTTATGTCAGGAAAGACAGACACAAGCAGAAAGTCTAAAAACCAGGAAGGGGTCAGAATTTCCCATCCCACTGGGAGAACAGTGGAAACGCAGACAGTATTTTATGTTAGCATTCCTCCAGTAGAACAGGGACCCGAGGCAACCAGCTGACAAACAGGTTTTGGAAGTTCTAATCTGTGATGGGTTGACCCCATTGCTTTGGGTGTATGTTGGTATACTGAGGCAGGAGAGATTGGCAGAGCAAACCCAATCACCTCATGTCCAGGAAGCAAAGGAGAGTAAGGTGGGGGCCAGGGTCTCACAATCCCTTCTAGGGCCCACCCCCAATGTCCTGAAGACTTCCTCCCACTCTACCCCACCTCCCACAGATTCTACCAGCTTGCCGGGTGCCGGTGGCTCACACCTGTAATCCTAGCTACTCTGGAAGCTAAGATCTGAGAATTATGATTTAAGGCCATCTCCAACAGCAAAGTCCATGAGACTCTTACCTCCAATTAACCACCAAAAAGCCTAAAGTGGAATGTGGCTCAAGGGGTAGAGCATCAGCCTTGAGCAAAAAAAAAGCCAAGAGACTGTGCCCAGGCCCTGACTTCAAGCCCCACACTGGCATGTGAATAAACAAAGTAGTACCATTATGAGGACTAAGCGTTCATCGCATGAAACTTAGAGAAACATCTCCGACCCACACTACTGCAGTTGTAGAGATATTTTCCAGTTATATGTGATGGGAGGTATACTTGAATTTTGATATTCTTCTAGAAAGTATACTGGGAGCATGTTGTAGTGTAACCTCCAGGCCAATGGCATGACAGTCGTGTGGTAAAATTTTCTTACACAGAAGGTCTTTTAGAACCTTTCAGTAAAAAAAAAAAATGAAAAGAACAAGCATAATGTGTTTCAGGTTACCATGTTACACAGGCATGAGAACTTTGCTAACAGTAGCAAGCATTTTGTTTTCCAGAATCCAGGCAGTTGGCAGAAAATAGCTCAGATGTTTGAGGATTTTAACCACTAAACACATTTTGCTTTTGCTTTTGTTAATAGCAGATTTACTGCTTGTTCTTTGTGTTTGCGTAGATAAGAGTAGATATAGAAAATAATGAAAAGGAAAACCAGAGAAACAGACAATAACTCTTGATGACTTCAGAAAGCCTGGTGTATTTCTTTCTTGTGCACAAGTCTAGGCAGAGTGCTATTCAGGAGGCTGAGATCTAAGGATGTAGGTTCAAAGCCAGGCCTTCCTCCCTACTCGTCACTACCCTGGGCAGAGAAATCCAAGAGACTTTTCTCCAGTTAACTAGCAAAAAGCCAGAAGTGGTATGGCTACAGTGGTAGAGTGCCAGCCTTGATTAAGATAATTAAGAGTGAGAAAGCCTGACTTCAAGTACTGTACAAGACAGGCAGGACAGCCTATCGTGGCAGCCATGTTGTCTGTGCTCACGGGAACTGAGTACACAGTGCTGTTACAAGACATGCCCAGAATGGAAAAAGCCAAGCAAGGCCCTGAGTTCAAGCCCCAGTACTGGCACGCACCCACAAAGAATGTTTAGATTGAATGTTTTACAGCCAGCTGTGGCTTGACATTGGTGTCAGAGTTGAGCCAAATTTAAGCTTTTTTAAAGTAACTTTTTGAAACTACTTTCAGCTTTCTCTAGGCTTTAATCCATTTTACTTTTTTTAAAACTAAAAGTTGAATTTTCTTTTCTTTTCTTTTCTTTTTCTTTTTTCGGTCGTGGCGCCTGAACTCTGGGCCTGGGCGCTGACCCTGAGCTCTTCAGCTCAAGGCTAGCGCTCTACCACTTGAGCCACAGTGCCACTTGCGGCATTGCCTACTTATGTGGTGCTGAGGAATCGAACCCAGGGCCTCATGCATGCAAGGCAAGCACTCTGCCACTGAGCCACCTTCCTAACCCCCAAAGCTGAATTTTCTGAACAGTCATTTCCTAACAATAGATCCTATTGAAAAACAGGTAGGCGTCAGTGGGTGCAAACAAGATGAGTACTAAGTGCTGAGCAGGGTGATACTGCCTGTAATCCCAGCTACTCAAAAGGCTGAGATGCGAGGAACACTTCAGCCAGAGAGTTTGGAGACCTTCTGGGAAAGATAGCAAGAGGCCTGGTCTCAAAGAAATGAAGAGATAGATGAGAAGTATGTCTCATAGATGTTTGACCACTGTTTTTCTTGTGTGTGTGTGTGTGTGTGTGTGCGTGCATGCGCGTGCATGCGTGTGTGCGTGTGTGTTTGTTGCTTTCAGAGTCTTTTTGGCAGTCACAGCCTGGACGGAGGAAGCAGTCCTATGGTCAAACCCAAAGGGGACAAGCAAGTGGAATACCTAGATCTAGATTTGGATTCCGGGAAATCTACACCCCCACGGAAGGTGAGTGAAACCTTGTTCTGTACAGCAGCAGGATGCTTAGGTTTTAGAGAATCCTCACCTTTGAGGAAGTTCTATGATTATTAATTGAAATTTAGTGAAGTCTAGTATTTACATCTTACTTGATTGATCGATCGATTGAATGGTGGGTGGATGCTGGGGATGGAACCCAAAGACCGCCCTGTACATCCTAGGCAAGCACTTCTACTGAGCTCTAGCCCCAGCCCCAAAGTCTATTTATTTTAATACAGTTTTGTTACACATAGCAACAATACCATGGAGACTAATCATTTTCTTTTAACTTCCTCATAGTAAGGGGAGTTATACACGTAATGCAGTTTTAGTCATTTCTGTTGAGATAATTTCTTAACAGATTCTACCCCTCTCTTTACCTTCCGTAGAATGTTAGCTCAGATGACACACTGTTTCTGTCCAAATTTTTAATTGTATCTTTTTGTTTAGTCTACAAATTAGACAATGTTATTACTCGTCTTAATGTTTTGTTTTCTCTTCTTCTATTTTGGTACTGGGGATGGAACCCAGACTTTGCACTTGCTAGGCAAATGCTTTGCCACTGAGTCACACCCCAGCCCATTCTTACTATATTATATAAACATTTTTATGTGTTCATACTGCTTTCCTATTTCTTTGTTTAACTTACCCATCTGGTAGCTCAAACCTTCCTTCTGTTAAAAAAAAAAAAATTCCATCCCCCTAAAATGCAATAGTATTAGCTCGTTCAGTAGAGATCTGCTGGTGCTAAATTCTTTGTAGTTCTTTTTTTTAACTTAATGTGTATTTTGCCATCATTCATAGAAATTAAGGATTCTGTTATTTTTTATTGACAGTACTTTCTTAGTACATAGAAGAGAATATTCTACTATCATTTTGTGTCTTTGGGTATTTCTTAGTTTCACATCAGTGTATCTAGACATAGAATTTTCTTATTTATCCTACAGATTTATCCATAATTATTCATTTTGATAAGCTATTTCCAAGTAGAATTGTTTTTTGTTTTGTTTTGGTTTGGTTTTTTGGGGTCCGGTCATGGAGCCTGAACTCTGGGCCTGGGCGCTGTCCCTCAGCTCTTCAGCTCAAGGCTAGCGCTCTACCACTTAAGCCACAGCACCAGTTCTGGCTTTTTTTTTTCTTTTTGCTTATGTGGTGCTGAGGTATCGAACCCAGGGCCTCATGCATACAAGGCAAGCGCTCTACCACTGAGCCAACTTCCCAGCCCCAACAGTTGATTTTTATAAATTCAGTCATCTCCTTAAATATTGCTTCTATACTTCATTTTAAGAAATATTTTCTTTGAGGTTTCTGATTAGACATATTCACTATCATGTCTTTTTATCATTAACTTTTTATTAACTTCTCACAATTTTCCATACCTTTATTCTTTTATACTTTTATATTTTATATCTTATCATCTCTGTCTCTGTCTATCTCTTTCCCTTTTAGTATGGTACTTCTGCTTGAACTCAGGGCCTGAGCATTGTCCCTTAGCTATTTTGCTCAAGGCTAGCAATCTTGAGCAAGTTACCCTTCCACTTCCAGATTTTTGGAGATAGGAGGCTCATGGACTTTTCTGCCTTAAACCTTGATCCTCGGATCTCAGCTCTTCTGAGTAACTAGGTTTACCGGCCTGAGCCACCTGGGCCTGGCTTCTTACCATCTCTCTAATTGGATACTTTCTTTGGATTTATCACCAAATTCATGAATTCTCAATTTTCCTATTTGTTTAGCTTTTAACATCAAGTCTCTTATATTTCTAAAATGAAGTTCTAGTTGGCTCTTCTTTATAGATACCACGCTGACTTTACTAGCTTCTTCCTCCTTTCTTATTTTTGTCCCTTTAAGCATTTTCTGAATCTCTGAAGCGACAGTGATACCACCTCAAGACCTGGGAAGTCTGAATTTTGTTTGCTAACTCACACTCCTAGTTGATTTCCCTGGTTTATTTGTGGCTTCTCATTGCAAATTTGTGGCTGCATCCTGAGGATGTACATTTCCTCCCGAAGGGATTTGTGTTCCCTTTTTCCGGGAGCCAGAAGGTACTAAATATCTTTGCTTGATCGTGGCTCCAGATTACAGTGTCCCTACCATCCCAACTCCTAGGATTGGAGTATTCGTGTGAATAATTCTATGTGAGACTTTAAATTAACAGTTTTTCAAACTTGAGAGGTTGGGTGCCAGGTGGTCACACCTGCAATCCTATTTGCTCAGGAATTGCAATCTGAGGATCACATTTTAGAGACAGCCTGAGCAGAAAAGTTCATGAGACTTTTTTTTTTTTTTTGTCAGCTGTGTGGCTTGAACTCAGGGCGTGGGTGCTGTCCATGAGCCTCTTAGTGCTCAAGGCCAGCACTCTATCACTTGAGCCACAGCACCACTTCTTTTTGAGTGGTTAGTTGGAGATAAGACTCTCATGGAGACTTTTCTTCCCCAGGCTGGCTTCAAACCTTGATCCTCAGATCTCAGCCTCCTGAGTAGCTAGGACTACAGGTGTGAGCCGCCAGCACCAGGCTTCTGAGACTCTTATTTCCACTTAACCAGCCAAAAAGTGAGGAGGAAAGGTGTGGCCCAAGTGGCAAAACACTAACCTGGAGCAAAGAAACAAAGAGAGCATCCTGGCCCTGAGTTTAGACCCCATTACTAACAATGCACACACACACACACATACACACACACACACACCACACACACACACACAATTTTTTTAAAGAGAGCATTATAGAAAGACACCACTGTTTATTTGAAGTAATACCATTTTGGGTGACCCAATCAAATTTCAAGGATATTCACAGTGTATGAGCATCTATGAATCTGTGCATTCGAAGGCTGACCTTCCCTCAGAAACACTCCTTGATAGGTGGCACGTGTGTGGTTTTTTTTCCCTTTGTATTTGTATTTTTTCTGTATGTAGCAAAAGAGCAGCGGCTCGGGCAGCAGTGTAGCAGACGAGAGAGTGGACTATGTGGTGGTGGACCAGCAGAAGACCCTGGCTCTGAAGAGCACACGGGAAGCCTGGACAGATGGGAGACAGTCCACGGAGTCGGAAACACCAACCAAAAGTGTGAAATGAAAACCTCCCGTCGCCCTGTCTGAGCAGATGCGAAGTGCATTGTAAAGATGAATGCCATTTGGGGAGATGGTGGTCTAGACACTTAAACTCCAGGCGGATTGATCCTCAGGCAAGCAAAGCTGAAGGCCGAGGACCTTTCACAAAATTGAGCAGTTCATTCAGACTGTACATGGTGCCACGTCAACAATCTGCAAGCTGTAAATAATGTGGTTAAGTGGTAACATTTAACTCCCAGAGAAACTTGTCTCCCATGGCTAACCGCACTTGTAGTATTACTGTATTTATGCACTTTTCTATTGAAAACATTGGCTTAGGTGTTCCCAGTGTACCTTCACAGAGTTCTCGGATTTCTTCACACTACTCTACGTAACAATACTAAATGAACTAAGCTAGTTTTTGTGTTCTTTGTTTTTTTTTTTTTTTTTTAAGATTTGGAAGTGGCTGCCAAAGCTATATTCTTAACACCATTATTAGAATGAGGAGCAGATTGACAAGTTAGCTTTTGTACGTGAAATTTCAGGTGGTAACTCTCAGCTTGAAGTACAACTGTAGTATGGTTGGACTTAATCTTTCATTCCCTTCCACAAATTCTGAAGATAATGTATATTACTGGTCAGGGCCTAGTTCTCTGGTTCATGTACATTTAGTTTTTACTGGTGGAACTTTTGTTATTTTTTGTAATTACAGTGCTTTGGTTCATTGAGTGAAGATTCTGCTGGGTAGGATCTTGTACTTTTGACAGACTAAATAGAATTACACTCTCAAGCCTGCAAGTGATTGATAGAATGCAGTGATGTTGTGCTTTTACACTTGTTAACATGTATTAAATGTTATATGCAAAAGGTAGATTCTATAACTAATCAGGTACGTACTGGGCACTAGTGTGCGAATATACTGACCAGGTTATACAATGATGTTTAGTTGAGTTCTTGTGAGTGCTAACAATTAAGTTTCCAGTTTGGGATTTGATGAATCAGTTGACATTCACTCTTAGTTCCAGCCACATACTGTGATTTTTTTTCATTAAATCGTCATTCAGATTCTTCCTCTAAGAATGAAACTCTATCTTATGATCTTATGACACCATAGTGCCCTTTCTATGATTAAAAAATATATATATCCTTCTTGGCCTTATATTTAAATCCCTATGCAATTAATGTTTTATATCTGCATTTTTTTAAAAAAAGATAGATGGTATATAAGCAATTCTCCTATGTAGCACCTATTGCTTTTCCAGTCAGAAAATTAGGAATTTTGTACTGTGATTGATATTCACTGTCCCAATTCACAACATACTGGAGCCTTGCTATAATGTGAACTCTTACAGTCCTGGACCCCTTCTAGCCAGATTTCTGAGACGATCCAGAGGAGTGGTATCGCTCTATCTCCCCTGGAACACCATCCTGTGGTCTGGACATCTGGACCAGCGGTTACAGGGAGCCACCGTGACATTCCTCTGTTCTGGCTTTGCAACATAACTTAGAATGCAGGGATAGTCACTTGGGTTTTGTTTGTTTGTTAACCTAAGTTACAAGCTATTGATTTGAGACTTCCTGATAGCTTTTAGAGGAGAGGTAGAGACTGCATGCCTATCATCAAGGTATGACCACCTCCACCAGACCTCTAATTGTTGCCTGACCCCATTTCAGGCCCATTGGCCATGGTGTTGTGCCTAATACAGTGTACTGGGGTTGTTTCCCTATTCCATAAACAAAGTGTTCATAACAAGACAATTGTAGACTAGTAACATTTGATGCTTTTAAATGTTTGCTTCTTTTTAAACTAAAACCCAGAACTGAATTTTGAGGTGAGTTTTTAAATAAAAAACAAAACAAAACAAAACCTTTGAGTTTGGTGTGTGATCTGTTTGTTAATAAAACTACAACATAAGCCAGGCACAGGTGGCTCATGCTTGTAATCCTAGTTACTCAGGAGGCTGAGATCTGAGGATCACAGTTAAAACCTTTCTGGGCAAGAAAGTCTGTGAGACTCGTATTGCCAAACAAACCCATAACATAAAATCTGAAATCATAGAAATTTACCTAAACTATGAAAACATACATCATTATGTAATTATAGTTAGTAATGATACTAAATTGTAGTAGTTACTTAGAAAGTGAAACATGTTTTGTGGTCTAAGCACAATAATAGCAGGACACCAGTAGCTCATACTTGTAATCCTAAGTACTCAGGAGGCTGAGATCTAAGGATCATGGTTTAAAGCAGGCTTGACTAGGAAAGTTCATGAGACTTTTATCTGAAACTAAGCACTAAAAAGCCAGAATTGGAGCTATATCTCAAGTGGTAGAGCTTTCACTTTGAGCAGGAAAAGAACCAAGGGATAGCATCGAAGCCCTGAAGTGAAGCCCCAGTATCAGCATAAAGAAAAAAGTAACCACAATAATAAATGATTAACTCATAAGCAAAAATCTTCCTTTAAAGCTATTGGGAATATCCAAAGCAATTACAAATATTTTTAGTGTAACTTCTCCTCTGTAGAAGTTACCCACCTTTATTGAGCGCCTGGCTTATATATCTGTAATATTCTATCCGCAATCCTAGCTACTTGGGAGGTTGAGGTGGGCATCACAGTTCAAAGCTAATCCTTGCTGAAGGGTTTCAGGATGGCTTTTCAGGCTGATAGCTGGGTACCACGGTCCATGTCTTCACAGCCAGGCAGAAGGCTGAGGTTGGGAGGATTACAGTTCTATTCCGCCTCAGACAGAAAAGCCAGGAGATTCCATCTCAACAGAATAGGGTGTTATACTTATGATGCAGGTGGGGTCTGGAATTTATCACAGGAGTGCAGACCTAGGCAAAAAGCAACACCCTATCAGAAGTAGTGCAAAAGGTGACTTGGTCAGCAGGAGAGCACCTGCCTCACAAGTGAAAAGCCCTGAGGGCAAACTCCGGTGCTGCCAGAAATTAAAAAAGAAAGAGGAAACCGGAACGCCAGTATTTAGGGAATTCTATTTGACAGGTTTGGATTTGGGTATTGTGAGCCAAGGTCTCCAGACTGGCCCTGAACCCAGTCCTCCCGCATCATCTTCCCAGACGCCCTTAACGCCCAGCCTTTCTAGTTTTTTGGGTTTGTGTGTGTGTGTGTGTTTTAACTACTGACAAGTTGTTTTCTTTCCCTCCTTTGGAGAAAACAGTATTTTGAGCTTTCTTGTTAAGCTATTTCGGGTACACTATGTCTTAGGAATTGAACATAGTTTGTTCTTAAAATGTTCCAAACACTCCCTGTGCCTGCTTACTTTGGCCGGTTCAGATGTAGGCATTCATATTTTGAGTAACAGTTATTTACAGTCACAGAAAGCTTCTCAGATAATGAAGCCGCATGCCCTACCCAGTCCTGTCTTAAGATCCTTCTGGTAGGTCCTGCCCACTGTCCAGTAAGAATCAGCACCCTCATGAAGACTCACAACACATAACTAAGTCAACAAGAAAGAAGAGCATCCATGGATAACTATTACAGTTGTAAAATATGAAAACTATATGGAAATTTTATATAGTTTTACAAGCAGCCATCAGATTAAAAGCCATAGCATAAATGAGTATCATGGACTTAATATGAAATTTGACTGCCATGTTATTGAGATCGTTGTTTTTATTTTGCTCTCCTTGGAAAGAATTTGGATTGTCTTCTCTTTCATGGACCTATTTTTCTTCAGACTCAGTATAATGTCTCATGAGTTCCTAACCAACTGACCAGATAAGGGATTAACTGTAGTTCCTAATACCTTTACACAAAAACAGTATCAAATTTTGTGAGTTCTGGTGACCTAATTATAGTCATCCCAAATTTCATCAGGAGAATCTCGTATGTAATTTTATTTCTCCCTTTTTGCACATCTTTTTGTGACAATCCAATGATGACTATTTTCTGCTACCAAATGAAACTTTGCAGTTTGGTTTCAAGACCTTTAACTGAGATTGTGAACTAAAGACATGTATATGCATTTCCAATTAGAGCTTCCCCCTTCCCACCCTCCCCACCCCCCATCTCCACCTCTTGATGATCAAAAATACTGACAAATATCCCATAGGCCAGAGCAATGAGGAGCACCATCTCCTGATAAAGATTCTCACTCAGAAGAGTAAAATTCCCCTTAATGGCATGAGCAGTGTTGCACATAGCTATCCTCTAGTGAACGTTCAGTAGAGACCCCTAATCAAGACCTTGGAAGTCTATACACTGCATCTCATTACCGTAACAATGCATTGTGGGAATGTACATGCACAGCTGGAAACACTACCTGCCACTCAAAACTCCACCACGAGGACCCTCCACCTCCCCTCCCCTCTATCAGTCTCACATTATTCCAGACATATTCCTCAGGGCCTTGGAGCTCTCCCAGCTCAAAATGCTCTACATTATTCTTCTTTTGCTTTCACTTCAGTAAACCTGTGTTGTTGCTCTGAGTTTTGCTCAATTCATGCCAGAAATCAAACATGTTAGAAATCGGCCTGTTAACACAACCATTACCACAAGACACTACATTTTGGTGTGTCAGAAATGACTTAGAGCTGGGTACTGGCGGCTCATGCCTGTAATCCTAGTTTCTCAGAAGGCTGAGATCTGAGGATTGAGGTTCAAAACCAGCCCAGGCAAGAAAGTCTGTGAGACTCTTATCTCCAATGTAACCACCAGAAAACCAGAAGTGGTACTGTGGCTCAAGCAGTAGAGTGCCACAGTTCAAGACCTAAAAAAAAAAAAAAAAAAGACTTGGGATGATTCTGCTCATTTGTCATTTCTATGAATGTTCAAATGTGCCCAGTATTCTATTACAGCGTTGGGCTAAGTCAGCCCTTTGGTTCACTCAGTCCAGCACCCTGCTGCTCTGACCTCCATGAAGTCTTACTAAGAATAAGAAGTTTGGGGTGTGTGAGGCGATCTCATTCGAGGTCATTCTCTTCTGTCCTTCTGTCACTTTGTAAATAGTGAAACTCTGGGTGCCTGGGCAAGCAGCAGCACCCGCTGATGCAGCACTTTGGTAATTTTGTGAAGTTTTCTAGACAGTAACACTTCTGTAAATATTGTTGCAGACTTAAATCCTGAGTCAAGCTGCACGTGCTAGTAGCTGGCTCTTGCTTGTCATCCTAGCTACTCAGGAGGGTGAGATATGAGGATCATGGTTCAAAGCCAGCCTGGGCAGGAAAGTGTGAGACTCTTATTTCCAGTTAACCACCAGGAAAAAAAAAAAAAAAAGCAAAGTGGTGCTGTCGTTCAAAGTGGTAGAACACTAGCTTTGAGCAAAAAATGTTCAGGAACAGCACCCATGCCCTGAGCTGAAGCCCCATGACTAAAAACAAGCAAAAACAAACAACACCTGAGCCAGGAATGAAACATTTGCCAACTTTTGATCAGGTGACCACCCTCCTTAGACTTTCCAATTTCATATTGTAAGTTTTTAAACAAATGAAATCTAATAGAAAATTAAATTTCTAAGGTATGTTTTTCACTAGAGACCAGATTTTTGTTAGTTATGGTTGTTCTTGATGATCAGTCCTTAATGATTAATATGTTTCTTCTGATTTTGCGATCTGTGTGGAGGCCAGGTCATTTGGAGAACTGGGGGGGAGAGGGAGGGGTGCGCATACGTAGTTATAGGAATTTTTTTTTTGGGGGGGTCCTGTCGTGGGGCCCGAACTCGGTGCCTGGGCGCTGTCCCTCAGCTCTTCAGCTCAAGGCTAGCGCTCTACCACTTGAGCCACAACACCACTTCCTGCTTTTTTCTTTTTGCTTATGTGGTGCTGAGGAATCGAACCCAGGGCCTCAGGCATGCAAGGCAAGCGCTCTACCACTGAGCCACCTTCCCAGCCCAAGTTATAGGAAATTTAAAAGCCAAATCTCCAAAAAGGCTTACTTAATGATTTTTATATATATATTCTCTAGACTATCAAAAATGTGTGTGGTTAAACATTAGTCTAAGATGCTGCTGTGAAGGTATTTTGTAGCTAGGGTAACTTTTGTAACCAGCTTATGTAAAGTGAAGCAGATTACCCGTGCAGTGTGCTTGGGCCTCATTGCATCTGTTTAAGGCCTTAAGAGCAACACATATTTCCCAAAGAAAAAATTTTTGCCGGAAGACCAGATCATTAGGGTAGTTTTATAACTCAGAGGCGGCATGCTTGCAGGTACAGTGCCCAGGTTCAATCCCCAGTACAGTTGAAAAGAAAAGAAAACATTATACATTCTGAGTTCCAGCCTGCTGGTCTAGCTAAAAATTGCACATTTGCTCATCCTCATTATTCTACTGCCTTTCTTAAATCTTTCTCCCCTCATCCATCCTGCTCTTCCTCCCTCCCCATTCCTGTCTTCCTCTCTTCTTCTCTTTCTTCCCTCTCTCCTCCTTTCTTCCCTCCTCTATATGTGTATATAAACACACAAAGAAAGTGTGTGTGTGTGTGTGGCTGGGCACCGGTGGCTCATGCCTGTCATCCTTACTCAGGAAGCTGAGATCTGAGGATCACAGTTCAAAGCCAGCCCGGGCAGGAAAGTCCGTGAGACTCTTTTCTCCAATAAACCACTCAGAAAATCTGAACTAGCACTGTAGCTCAAGTGGTAGAGTGCTAGCCTTGAGCCGAAGAGCTGAGGGACAATGCTCAGGCCCAGAGTTCAAGCCCCACCACTGACAAAAAAAAGAATGTGTATGTGTGCATATATATGTATGTGTATATAAATATATATATCCAAGTCTCATATACATATATATATATACACATAGGTTTCCATATGTATATGAGACTTTTAAGTTAGGTCTGCCCAGATATTACTTTGCTCTTCCCTCAGATTTAGAGCATTTACAGCAACTATCAAGTTGGTGTTTGGTGGACAG